TATTAAACCCAATTACGAAATATAACCAAACATTAAAGTTAGATTTCACAATTTAACTCAAATTGTGACCATGACTACCTTACAAGCGCAGCTAAGACACATAATTGGGAACCCATATGAGTTGTAGGGTCATTGTAATCAAAGATTGATTAATTAATTATATTGTATAAATATATTGATTGGTTAGTAATGATTGATTGATTAATTATATTGGAGGTGATGATGAATATAATATGGTAATAATTTATTAGTATTAATTAGTAAGGATTGATTAATTATATTAATTATGAAATTGTAATTTTAATAATTAATTTAATGATTGCTACTTTTTTTTTTTTAATTACAGGTGATGATGAATGTATTATAATTGATTTTTATATTTGCCGTATAGGTGTGTACCGTTAACGGTAATAACAGGGATGCAAAAGCAAAAATTGTTGATCGTGGAGACGCAATAGATGACCTTCAACTTATCCTTCTACACGACATGAACTCATATTTACAGCAATATGTGTTTTTCAACTGTCAACCTGAATCTATTTACTTAATTATATTTGATCTATGTCAAACCGAAGAAATAAGCAAGCATTTTTTTAATATTTATATCTTAGATTCTGTATATTTTTTATGATGATTATGAATGAAAAAAAAAAAATAATAATCATATGTTATGTATAATACATAGGTTATGTATTGTTAAGTGATTTACCAAATTCACATTGAAAGGATCCAACTTCTATTGAACATTAATAACTTCACAATAACAACTGATGTAATAATAATAATAATAATAATAATAATAATAATAATAATAATAATAATAATAATAATAATAATAATAATAATAAGTGCTTGCCAGCTTGCCTCAATGTTCCATTATAATGCATGCAGACAATTACGTTATTATCATGCACCTTAATTTGATCTACAAAATATTCTTCAATCTTTTTTTTTCTTTTAATTTTGTCCAAACTTCAATTATTGACGGGAGATATGACTATTGAATTGTGTGAGCTCAACATACTATAATAGCAAAAGATCTTTATTTTACGAACTTTTTTTACAATTTTAATATACATAATTGTTTAACTTTTTCCTCCTAATATTACATTTTAGGTTGCCAAAGATCTTGTCAAGCGGCATAAACGATACTACATTGTAACACCATTCTAGCTTCCAAAAGGTTGAACCTCAACCCTAAGGGCCCCCCACACCCCGACTCGACAGAACATTTGGAAGGATATAAATCATGGTAACTCAACTGACAGAGGCTAGACATTTGCTTACTGCGCACAAGGAGCCACTCACTGCTAGAATCACTTTAATCAATTTAATGGTCACCATCTATAGCAAGGAAAGTCATATCTTGCTGATATATATATATATATATATATATATATATATATATATATACACACTAGTCGAGAGCACGCGCTTTGCGCGAAAACGTCATGCTCAATAATCAATTATTATGTTCTTTATTTTTTATTTTTTATTTTTAAAACGAGTATGTTCTAATTTTTAAATAATAATATATATAATTTTTAATAATTGTTATATGACAAAATAAATAAGAATACATAAATAAGTTATTTAGACACCAACATGATATACAAGAATTGAATTAGGAACATACGGGAGGATATTAGATTTGGTTTTGAGGGAGAGAATGAAGATGTTAGCTAGAATAATATAGTGATTTTCTAAAAAAAATGTTAAAAAAAAAAAAGAATGGAGTGCTGGAATGATGGAGAAAAAAGAAGACAACGATCACATCAAGACAAAGAAGAAGAAGACAAAAAAAAAGTAATGGTAAAATTATTATTTCTTTAAAAATTGAGGGCAATTAAAATAAAAAAATAAATCAAAAATTAGATCAAAAAATTTTATCCATTAGATTTAAAATCAATGGTAAGTAAGGGGTGCCATTTTTGAGGGACAAATGGCAACTCCCAAATACAGGGTATAAGTATAAGGGAGATATATAGTATTAGTAGGTAGTACTTTAAAGCTTATTTTAAACTCCCACCAGAGCACAGCACATTATATTCAATCGTTATGCGTTGGACCCGTGTCCAGCATGCATGCTGGACACGGGTAACAGTGTCGTAAGACATTGTTATCTCTTTTTTTTTTTTTTTTTTTTATAATTTCAGACCGCTTCGTTATAGGAGTATATGTTCATAATTTATTACTATATGTTAATAACTGTACATTCATAACTCCATAACTGTACGTTCATAACTCTATAACTGTACATTTATAACTCCATAACTGTACATTCATAACTCCATAATTGTACATTCATAATTTTCGAAGCTCTATGTTCACAATTTTAGAGCTCTATGTTCATAATTTTATCACTATATGTTCATAATTGTAAGTTCATAATGTCAGAGCTCTTTGTTCATAATTCGATCAATAACTGTACATTCATAATTCCATAACTGTAGATTCATAATCTCATAACTGTAGATTTATAACTCCATAACTGTAGATTCATAACTCTATAACTGTACATTCATAACTCCATAACTGTACATTCATAATCTTCGAAGCTCTATATTCACAATTTTAAAGCTCCATGGTCATAATTTTATCACTATATGTTCATAATTGTAAGTTCATAATGTTAGAGTTCTGTGTTCATAATTTCATAATTGCATAACTGTACATTCATAACGGCATAACTGTACATTCATAATCTAAAAAAAATAAAAATAAAATAAAATAACGCCGTTAACGAAAAAACGCGCGGAATTTTTTTTTTTTAATTAAATGACACGTTTTTTTAAAAAAAATGACGTCATTTTGGGCCCGTGTCCACAATTCATTGTGAACACGGGTCCAGGGCATAATTTGCCCATTATATTCCAGCCAGGCAGGAGGCAGCCCACCATCACAAACAAATATAAAAATCAACAGGCATGTAGCATGTGTATAAATACTCAAGAATTATGAACATGGAAAAAAATAAATTTTGAGTAAGTAGAAATGTTATTACATAAAAAGTTGAAAAAACAATAAATACAATAGAAACTCTTCTTTTCACAAAAGGTTAAATCCCCAATCTTAAAGACTTCCACACTATCGGGTATTTAGGATGATGTAAATCATAGTGATTCAATGACTCAGCAGACATGGTCAAATACGGGTGCGCACAAAGGATTTGTCCATTTTAGGCATAATCTCCACATTGATGCCGCAGATGTTCGAACCTTGGTCTCTTTTTCCAAATACTGCATACTGAACTTGTGGGGCACAATGGAAACTCTATTACATTATAAGGTGGTGTTTACTCTGCATTTATTATAGCAAAATTTACATCTTTTGATTTATAATGTAATTTCTTTAACTATTGTTCATATTGTTGGAATTATAATATATATGAAATGAAATTAGGAATAAATCAATTTAATTATATAACTTTATTTTAATATATATAGATGATTAGAAACTATATTAAACATATAAAATTTTAATTTTAATTTTGTATGCTATGAAAATATATACTTGATAAACTATATGTGATTTCCAACTATAATATTATATATATTGTACATTTTAACATATTTTTATTTTTTTTAATTTTTTATTTAAATCATGATAACATAATTTCTTTCCTGCATCACATGATTACAATACTAGTTTTTTTACACATAAAGTATATAATATAATATAATGTAATATAATATTATAAATTTGTTTAATATTCTAATACATGATTTTACTATAGTCATGATGACACAAATGTCGGTTACAACAAAAAATATATTTAATTATATATTTGATATTGATATACGTATTGTAGAGCATATGTGACGATAATATTTGGTATAACAAAAATAATATACTTACCCCTATGGCCCTACCAACATCATAAAATTCTTTATAGTCCGTTTAATTCACTAAAATTAATTCTTTTAAATGTGAATTCTCATGTTTAAGTTGGTGTTTTTCTTTGAAGTTTCAATTTTTAAAATTTTAAGAATTGAAATTACACGGAATGCCCTTGATATTTTAAAATCTTCATTTCTAGGGGAGAAATAGTAGATAATGGTGAATCAATATTTTTTTTTGGTTAAATGGTGAATCGATATTATTCTCACACATCTTAATTATGTAAAAGTATTTGAATTTTTATAAGCTTTTCGTTCTATTTTATTTTTTTTATTTTTTATGTTGTGTTTAGTTAATACACCTTGACTCAATTTGTTTATAATTTAATTATTTGAATTATTTAGTTTAGTATTAGTATATAAAATTTATATGTTTAGAAACAATATCAAAAGTAACATTAAACACAACAAATAAAATAAATTTAAATATTATAAGAAAATTTTATATTTTAGTTAAAAAATATTACACATCTCACAATAAATTAACTTTTTTTTTTAAAAAAAAAAAAGTAAAATGAATCACTTTAACCAATAAATAGTACATTTAAGAGTGAATTTCATTTTTTGTTCTAGATTTTTAGGAGACAATTCATTTCTAGCACTTTTTTTTTTTTTTTTTTTTTTTTCAAAACACTCCCATTTGATCATAGTAGTATTGTAGCATGACTATTTTTTATCCTCCATCAACAAAACCGTTTAAATTTCGTAAAATACAAGGACATTTATATATTCAATTATAATTTTTTTTTTCAAAAAATAAAAATAAAAATATAACGGGTCAACATACTTTGTATAAAGAAGATCAAAATGTCCTTATATTTTACGACATTTCAAAGATTTTGTTAATCGGGTACCAAAAATGATCATGTCACAATAATACTAGGATCGGGAATGTTTTGAAAAAAAAAAAAAAAAAAACTATAAATAGACTGTCAACTATAAATCTAAGATAAAAAATAGAATTAACTCGACTTAACTTCTAAAATGAGATAGGGATAATGGTAATTATTCTCAATAATTAAATTTCATTTTTTCAATAATGCACACATGCATGCTGTTATAAAATGATGATCGAGCTCTGCTATTTGCAGCCACTCCACCACTCCTTCAGCGTCACAGAGAGAGAGAGAGAGAGAGAGAGAGAGATCTGGGCAAGCTGAAAGCCAATTAGGTATACACTTCTTTATTCTCATCATGCATATATTATATATAGTATAGTTATAGTAGGAATGAATATCTATCTCTTTCTCTTACTATGATATGGGAAGCGTCCATAATGTATGTGTTTCTAAGTTTTGCAGTTTTTGGGCTGAATACTTTAATTTGGAATTCAATTCCCTTTGTTTTTGTTCAGGCATAATGCATTTTTTGTTGTCATCTATCTTTTGATTCTTTTCACCATTAATGGCTTGTTGGAGATTTATATCTTATTATATATGGTGGTAAAGTTGTTGATTATATTGCCAGTAAACAATATAATGGGGGAAGAAACCATTAGAGATGAGAATGGAGCTTTGGACTCTGCACACGCTGCAGTATTTAAGAAATCAGAGAGCCTTGAGGGGTGCATGAAAATTGAGGGCTATGATTTCAACAATGGCGTTCACTATCCTCAGTTACTCAACTCCCTGCTCTCAACTGGCTTCCAAGCATCCAACCTCGGCAAAGCCATCCAAATTGTTAATGAAATGGTATGATTCTTCAATCAGGGTTTGGTTGCTGGGAGAGAATTAGGATGAAAAAGAATTGAAATTTAGAATACTTCAAGAATTTAAATTTGACACAAGTGTCAAATAGGCCCATCTATTATTACAAAGTGCTCAATTTCCATCACGAACTAAATTAAGTGCTAAATAAGTTCATCTATCAGGTAAATTTGTTCGATTGACTTTTTTTTTACAGATTGCTAACAGATTGCCTATTCAATTATATATATATATATATATATATATACTTTTTAAAAAAAAAATTCAGCCACCGGTGGCTGCCAGACAGCCGACAGCCGTGGCTGTCCGGCGAGGATAGCCAGACAGCCACGGCTGTCAAAGATGAGGTCCAGATCTGGACCTCATGTTTGAGGTCCAGATCTAGACCTCAAACGGCCTGGAACGGCCATGGCCGTTTGGAACGAGGGTGGCGGCCATCCAGCCCGTTTGAGGTCTAGATCTGGACCTTGTCTTTGACAGCCGTGGCTGTCCGGCAGCCATCGACTGTCTGGCACGGACAGTCGGTGGCTGAATTTTATTTATTTATTTATTATTATTATTATTATTATTATTATATTATTATTATTATTATTATTATTATTATTATTATTATTATTATTATTGAATAGGCAACATGTTAGCAACATGTAAAAAAAGTCAATCGAACAAATTTAGTTGGTAGATGGACTTATTTGGCACTTAATTTAGTTCGTGGTGAGAATTGAGCACTTGGCAGTAGTAGACGGGCCTATTTGACACTTGTGCCTTTAAATTTTAGTGTTTGATTTACGGGGATGTAATTACTAAGAGAGTTAATTACTAAAATGGTCTCTTGACTATAACGAAATTATCAATTTGGTTCTTGACTATTTTTTTTTGACCAATTAAGCCCCTCGTCTTTAAAAATCGTAACGAATTTGGTGTTCTGTTTGTTTTGCCGTTAGACATCCGTTAACTTATAGCCAAATTGGTAATTCCATAGTCAACGGACCATTTCAATAATTAACTTTTTGGAGGAAATCTTACATGTGAATATGTTATGACCGAAATGGTTTCTTGACTATAGTTAAATTATCAATTTAGTCATAAGTTAAAGGATGTCTAACGACAAAACAAACAGAGGGCCAAATTAATTAAGATTTTTAAAGTTGCGTGACTTAGTGAGTCAAAATAAAGAGTCAATGACCAATTCGGTAATTTTACTATAGTCAAGTGACTATTTCGGTAATTACTCTTACTAAGGGCTCGTTTGGTTCGCAGAAAATATTTTAAGAGAAGTGGAATTGGAATTCCATGGAAAAACAATTACTAGGAAGATGAATTTCATTGTTTGGTTGGTGGAAAAAGAATTACTGGGAATAATAATTCTATTGTTTGGTTAGATTTGGAATTGTAAGGAATAATGAGTATAAAGACTTATATGCCCCTACAAATTAATAAAAGTAATATAATTAAAAAAGAAAGAAAGAGTAAAATAGGCAATCTATTCACTTTTTCTTCCCATCTTCCATGGAAAACAAAATCTTTGGTCCAACCAAGGATTTTGTTTTTCTCAAATTTGAGGAATTCATTTTTCAATAGAAAATGAATTCCATGAACCAAACACTAGAAAACAACATTTTCCTTCACTGTAAGGAAAATGTTTTCCAATTTTCCATGAACCAAACATCCCCTAAGAATTTCAATTGGACTGTTTGATATTCATGAAAGTTGAAAGGGAATAGGTAATGTATATAGACCAATTGAAAGAGGAAGATAATTTTGTTTCAAGGTATTTTTTTTTTCTTTCCAAAAATCGCATAATTGAAATTATTAAGGGACACATGTGATTCTAATTCTGTGTAAATGAGTGAATTGCAATTCCTTTCAACCAAATGAAGTAATTTGCTTGTCTTCAAAATTAGTGGAGTGGAATTTTAATTCCCTCCAAGCTGCCAAGAGTACAATTTCCATTAGATTATGTTCAGCTCAAGCCTTCCTTCATTTCCAATTGCTAACACACTGCCATTTAATCTGTTTCTGTAAAAGCTTGATTGGAGGCTTTCCCATGAACCCACAAAGGAAGACTGCAATACTAAAGAGAAAGATCCTGCTTATAGAGACTCAGTGACTACCAAAATCTTCTTAGGCTTCACATCCAATCTTGTTTCTTCTGGTGTTCGAGAAACGATTCGCTATCTCCTTCAGCACCGCATGGTTAGTGTTTCTGTGTGTGTTATCATATGGACTTCACTATTTATAAACTATTAGGCAGAGGCGGTTAAAAGGGCCAAGCCCAACAATGGGTGGTTAGATGATTGTTGGACAGAGGTTGGTAAAGGGCAAGTCCAGCAATATGGTGGCAGTATATAAATCATGGTTGAAAATATCGCTAGGCGCTCGGGGCGTTTAGGCGGGGAGTAATTCTCACCTATGCGTCCGTGTATTTTTATTTTATTTTTTATTTTTTAAAATTTGTTTAATTTTTTTTAATTTTTTAAAACTTGATAATTATAAACTATTTAATACTTTAATAGTTAATACTATAATATTAAATATTAACTTAAAAAACATATACAGTTTGAACAATTTAGGTTTATTTTGCACAAAACGATGTCGTGAAAAAACCCATTTAAAAAGAAAGGAACAATAGTTAATCGGCCGACTAGGCGACCTAATCCGTGCTTAGGAGGCTTAGTCGGGCGGGGCCTAGGAGGCCTAGGCGGTACTTAGTCGGTCGCCTAAATCACCGATTATTGTGATACTATGCTAGGTGGCTACACAAGCGCTAGGTGCCGATTAATCGGTGCCTAGGCGGAATTTTTGCAACACTAATATAAATAAATGAAATTGCACCCTTTGCTTTGAGCTATAACTTTTGGCGTAATGGTAAGCGTTTGACCCTAACATAAACCTGGGATATAATACCATCCATCGTTTTGTTGGGTTGCAGGTTGATGTAGTGGTGACAACAGCCGGTGGTATAGAGGAGGATCTCATAAAATGTCTTGCGCCAACTTATAAAGGTGATTTTTCGTTACAAGGTTCTATGCTACGCTCAAAGGGGTTGAACCGCATTGGTAACTTGTTGGTTCCAAATGACAATTACTGCAAATTTGAAAACTGGATCATTCCCATTTTTGACCAAATGTATGAAGAGCAAACTAAACAGGTATTGGTCTTCTATGCCACACAACACACTTACAGGGACATTACCCTATGATGTTTTTTCTCTTTTTGTTATATAGAATGTATTATGGACACCATCTAAAGTTATTGCTCGCCTTGGGAAAGAGATCAATGATGAGAGCTCATATTTATACTGGGCATACAAGGTACCTTCCCAATTTAATTTTGTTTACCTTGAACAATTGTTGTTATGTTGAGAGTGTTAGGATCAAACACTTACCACTACGCCAAAAGTTATACCTTGTAGTGAAAGTGCAACTTTATTAGCTTTTGGCGTACTAGTAAGCACTTGATCCTAACAAGTGGTATAACGGAAGTCGGAAAGGGCCAAGTCCATCAATTGATTGTTGTTCCTAAAAGGTTGAATCCCCAACTCCAAGGACCACTCACGCCCCGGCTTGACAGAGCATCTGGGAGGATGTAAATCGTGGTAATTGATTGTCGTTCCCAAAAGGTTGAATCCCCAACCCCAGCCCCCCACGTCCTGGCCCGACAGAGCATCTGGGAGGATGTAAATTATGGTAACTCAGTTGAACATAGAGGCTAGACATTTGCTTACTGCGCACAAGGAGCTTGAGATCACTTTGAGAGCCGATAACATAGAAGCTAGACATTTGCTTACTGCACATAAGGAGCTCGCCTCACTTTGAGAGCCGATAATATAGAAGCTTAACATAGAAGCTAGACATTTGCTTACTGCACATAAGGAGCTCCCCTCACTTTGAGAGGTTGCTCCCACACTGTCACTGCTGGTGAGACTCGATCCCAGGTCATTGTTCTCAAAGTCACTCATGTAACCAACTGAGCTGCCCATGCAGACAAGTCCATCAATTGATGGCGAAGGCCGATGAAGGACTAAGTCCAGCACCTTGTGTCTTGAAAATGTGATGACAGCTTATAAGAAAATAAAGTTGCGCCTTTATTACAAGTTATAGTTTTTGGCGTAGTTGTAATGGTAAGTACTTGATCCTAAAAGGAATTCTGACTTTCTTTGCTCTCTATCCAGAACGGAATTCCTGTCTTCTGTCCTAGTTTAACTGATGGCTCTATAGGAGACATGCTATACTTCCATTCTTTCAAAAAGGAAGTTGCAGATAATTCAGACCATCATCCTGGTCTAATCATTGACATTGTAGGAGGTAATTAATTCATCTTTTTGCCTGCCCAAATACTAACTACTTAACAACAAATTGATAACTGACTAGTCTAGATTGTCCATTACTAGATGTCAGGGCTATGGATGGTGAGGCTGTTCATGCCGGTTCTAGGAAGACCGGAGCGATTATCCTTGGTGGAGGGCTGCCTAAACATCATATCTGTAACGCGAATATGATGCGCAATGGTTTAGATTTTGCGGTCTACATCAACACTGCCCAGGAGTTCGATGGAAGCGATTCTGGTGCCCGCCCTGATGAAGCTGTGTCGTGGGGAAAAATACGCAATGTAGCCAAAGCTGTGAAGGTTAGCAATGCCAATTGCCAAAGCATAACTCACCATTCTTGAAATATTTTTTTTTATCTATTTAACTAACTGCCTTGTTTGAACAAGCTGTGACAAAACATTTTATGTTGTTATGTCTTGTGCAGGTACACTGTGATGCAACCATTGCTTTCCCCCTTTTGGTAGCAGAGACATTTGCAACTAAAGCTAAAAAAAAATTCAATGACAATCACTAAGTGACAGTGTGGTCGTGTTCTTGCCTACATTCGGTTGGACTTCAGTGGTTTGCATAGCGGGTCATAAGCGTCGAGCATAAATATATAGAAATAATATATGCTCAGTCTTACTATCAGTTTAAATTTTTCTCTTGAGACGAAATAAATCCTTTAGTTATAGGTGTGTGCAGATTTGATGGGAATTCAGTGTTGCTTAGGAACTGTGTTTCCTAAATTTGTCATTTCTCAAGGAAACACTTGCCCATATATGTTGTGTAACTATTGTTTGCTTGTCATTTCTCAAAGAAACATTTGCCCAAATATGTTGTGTAACTATTGTTTAGAAATGGCCACTTCCCCTTCTTCAGGAAACATGTTTTTTTATTTAATCACAGGAAGATGCATGTTCTTACATTTGGAATTGAAACATTGTGAGCATTTTGAGATGTGTATCTTGCAGGGCATTTAAAGTACAAATTTTATTAAAGAAAGAAAAAGAAATGAATTCACCCGCTTTTATTAAACTAACAATCAAAATATGTGACATCCTCTACTATAATGAAGCCAAACATATTTGGTAATATAAAATAGAAAAAAACAGATCCCCCACACAAAACACTGCGTTTTGGGCGAGACTGATGGTGCATGTTTTGCATAATTGCCGGTTGGCAATATGAAGAGTTCGAAATTAATAAAAGAAATAATCGCACGGGACAATATTGGTTGGTGGGCCTGTGTAACGAGATGGAAACACTTATGAATGAATATTGGTGGACGGGCTCAGTGGGATCGGGGAAAGGAATAAGGTGGCGATCGTGGGGAGGTTTGTGTGCTCCTAAAATGGTTGGGGGCATGGGCTTCAGGAGGCTGCATGAGATGAACCTTGCATTATTAGGAAAGAAGGCCTGGCGCCTTATTACGAATCCCACCTCGTTGGTTACTAAGGTATATAAGGCTCGCTATTATCCGCATACAGATTTTTTTGAGGCAAAGGATGGATCTAATCCGTCTTATATTTGCCGTGATTTGTTGGCTGGGCAGAGCACGATGAGGGATGGCTGCCGGCGAGCAATTGGGAATGGCTATGATACGTCGATTGGGAATACACCATGGCTTCCTGATGATGATGATCTGTATATACACACCGACGTGCCCGGAGAGCTTGCAAATGCTCCGGTTTCATCATTACTTAACATTGAAGGTATGTCATGGGATAGGGATTGTGTGAGAGATATTTTCATTGAGCGTGATGCTGAGTTGATTTTGAAAATCCCTATTAGTGTCCGTAAACCTTCTGATTCGTGGGTTTGGCATTGGGATAATAAATGGGCTTATACGGTTAAGTCCAGCTATCACCGACAGGAGGGTGTATTGCATGATGATAGACCATGGATGATACTTTGGAATGCCAATGTACCACCAAAGGTTAAGTCCTTCGGGTGGCAGTTGGGGTTGTCTTTTTTGCCAACCCAGGATGCGCTAAGAAGGAAACATCTTGTTTGTAATTTAATGTGCCATATGTGCAGGCAGGAGGAAGAGACGACTTCTCATATTTTTGCAGCTTGTCCAGAGTCTATGCGAGCTTTCACAATGGTTGGCTTGCCGATCACAGCTAGAGCTGTCGGGTAATGTACTGCATGAGTGATTTTTTGGCTGTCTATCTGCGTTGCAAGCTGATTTAGTACCTAAATTTTTGATGGTGTGCTGGGGGATTTGGTCTAGCCGGAATGCATGTGTTTGGAAAGGGGCGGTTTTTGATTTAATCTTGATGGTCAATCATGCACTTATGTTTCTTGATCATTGGGTGGCGACAAATGAATCTACATCTGTGTCGGCTGTTTCACGCCAAGTTGATCGCTGGAGGAGGCCGCAGGCGGGCAGACTAAAGATGAACACTGATGCCGCCATAAATCTGACTAATAACACCATGGGCTTTGGCTGGGTTGTAAGGGATGCTGATGGTACGTTTCTGGTTGCGAGGAATAAGACTGTGCCCGGCGTCTATGATGTGAAGGTAGTTGAGGCTATGAGCATGCGGGAGGCTCTGAGTTGGTTCAAGAACACGGGGCTCGGGGAGGTTGATGTGGAGACAGATTCACAGCTTTTGTATAATGCTCTTAATGGACCTCCCTTTTATTCTGCGTTTGGTTTGTAACACACACGTTTCTTAAAATTGATTCGCTACCTCCCGAAGGTGCTAGGAGCATTTTAGCGTCAGTCTCTCAGGATAAAATAGATCATAACTTTTAGTTTGAGCACTCAAATATATAGTCCGACGAGCACTTCATTCCTTTTTAGGAAGTGTTGACAGAATTTTCTCGTAAGAAAAGAGTTGAGATCAGAGAGAGGTAGAGAGAAAATAAAACAAAATTTTGAAGTTCTCAAAACCCGCAGGTAAATAATATGCCCAACACCTAGGTGTTTATATATGAGATTTAGAATTTAATAGCAATAACAACGACATTAGCATCTGAAATAAATCATATATGTAACTCCCATAACCTGCAACTTTAATATGGAGTTTAATTCTCAAAATTAAATTGGAATTAATTCCTACGGATCAGAATTAGTACTACCAGAATGGTATTCCGAGAAGTACTTCAAGCAGTACCCATGAATAGTAGTTCGAATAGTACCCACGAATAGTTGCTTGAAGGTTAAGAATAGTCAACTATTCGGTCAAACCGAATTGTCAAAAAAATCTGAACAGTCAACAACCCGAATGGTTGGTTTACTCTTCTGATTTGCTGCTCGGACAATGGCTCTGAGTTGGAAAAAATTAGACAAAATATTGGCATAAGGCTAGTCAATTTTTGGACTGCATTCGTGCCCGTAGGTGCTGGCGTACACAAGTCAAGCTTTTTCAGACTCATTTTGGGATTTGATTCGCATACACCTATGCGCGAGAGTGAGCCTATATGCTATACAACTCAACCTCCTTCTAAAAGGCTCTTGTATATATAGTGGTGCAAACTCATCTCCAAACCAATGTGAGACAATTGTTTTTACTTTTTTACAAAGCATTTTCACCTTTATTTTCCAACTCAAATGCGTCTACTTTGAGAATCGATTTTTCATTCACCATTATCCGTTTTGAGTGTACAATATATCAATTTCTTCACCTCACTATGAAAAGTGCAAAATTTGACACGATCCAAATTGATAGTGGGCCTCACATATATTTGTACCAGAAAATAGCCACTTAAATGTCATCTTATGCTAAAAGTTCCAACACTATTTATATGCATAAAGTTCAATATTTGTGTGAAAGTGTTTTGATGCATAGTCCGCGGTAAAATTTGAATGTGACTATAGTGAGTTTTTTGCACTTTTAGTCCCACAACTATAGTGGCACTGACAGAATTGATCCACGACTTTTGAACCTTGCAATTTTAGTCCACGACTATTGATTTTTTTGCAAAAATGGTCCTTCCGGCCGCTTTACGTCAAAATTTCACCGAAAAAAAAAAATTCTCTATTTTTAGTCAGGTTAAAATTGACATTTTACTTATCTCAAAAAATTAAAAGAAAAAAATTGATATTTGACTACATACAATATTACTGGGCTACATACTACTGTCCCAGGCAGCGGAGTACATGTACCACTCCAATGCTGCTGCTGGATAACCCAACTAGCCAGGGGAACGCCACGGCCGCTCCGCCGCTTACTGACAGCCCTGCCTGCTCCAGGAACCCCGCCGCCTGGGGCAGTAGTTGTTGGATATTGGTGAATAAATCGAAACACAAAATATATATAAAATATAAATTTGTCCCGAAAAAATGAATTTAATTTATACAAAATTAATTCCAACCAATTTTGGTACGAAACCAAAATTACATATATATACAACGTATATATATATTAACCAAATAGGGATTTATTTTATCAAAATAATCCCACCACAACTAGTACAAAACTAGTACAAGGATTTAATCGATCCGAGATTAATCCCACCACTTGGTCCGAAACCAAGAACAAAAATAAACAAGAACGGGTTTCTAACCTGAGGTTTCAACCCAACGCGAAGAAACAAGAAGAAGCAGAGGAAGCCCGAGTCGTGTGTACACACACTCTCCTTAAAACCGATTCGCCACCTCCCGAGGGTGCTAGGATCGTTGTGGCGTCAGTCTCCCAGGATAAAACGGACTACGACTTTGGCGTTCGAGCACTCCAACCCAAAGTCCGACGAACTAGAACACAAGTTGAGCACTCCGATGTTTTACGGAATTGTTGGCAGAATTTTTCCTTCGTAGCAAAACAATAGTTGAGAGTAGAGAGGAAATAAAAAGGAGGAATTTTGAGAGGTTCAAATGCATGAGTTCCAAACCATTCTGCCAACAACTAGTATTTGTAGGGATAGAGAAATTTAGTAGCATTATAATGGCCATTAACCAACATAAATCCAAGATTTAATAATTGGATAATAACGTTTGAAACGGTCGTAATTATTATCGTAATAATTCCAACGGTCACGAACTTAATACGCGATTAATTCGTACAGATCACAACGACCCGTTTCAAAATATCTGAGTGACCGAGAAGTCCGTACAAACCCGAAGGTTTAACGAATTGGGACCGGAGACCACACCCGAGTGGTCCGCAAGCACCGAAACGGTGCAGCACGAAAGAAGCTCATGAAAGGAGAGAACGAAAGGAGCTCACAACTCCAACTTTCAGCATGAAACTAAAGCTTATAATTAAGCTTTCAATTTTGCATGCACTTTCGTCCAGCATGAAAGCATAGCACGAAAGGTGCTAAAAACGCAATTCACTAATTAAGCAAACAATGCTTAATTACTTAAGCTTTAATCAAGCTTATTTCGTGTACAACGAATCAAAGCTTAATAACAAGTTGCTAACTTAATTAGCAATTAGCTTAAGATTTTGGCTTCTCCCAAATAGGTTCACTTTGAGAATCAATTTCTCATTCACCTATTACCCATTTTGAGCGTACATTATATCAAATTCTTCGTCTCACTACGAAGAACCCGAATCCACTTTGACTCGACCCAAATCGGAAGTGGACCCACATATATTTGTACCACAAAATAATCACTCAAAATGCCATTTTTAGCTAAAAATTCCAACAGTAGTATGTAGCCCAGTAATATTGTATGTAGTCAAATATCAATTTTTTTCTTTTAATTTTTTGAGATAAGTAAAATGTCAATTTTAACCCGGCTAAAAATGGAGAAAATTTTTTTCCTGTGAAATTTTGACGGAAAAGTGGCCGAAAGGACCATTTTTTCAAAAAAATCAATAGTCGTGAACTAAAATTGCAAGGTTCAAAAGTCGTGGATCAATTCTGCCAGTGCCACTATAGTCGTGGGACTAAAAGTGCAAAAAACTCTGACTATAGTTGCAAGTATACTATGAAGTAAGAAAAACAAGTTTTATTTATTGAATGTATCATTTAAAACAATCAAGATTACTATCAAAGCGGATCAGCCTGCCCCACCGTGGGCCTAATTTCTTGCGGGCTTTTGAGGGCCAACTCGTAGGCTAGGTTCATGCAACTCTAGTTTGCCCCACGCTAGTTGGCAGGCCTTGGGGTTTTGTTTATTTGTTTTTGTTTTTGTTTATTATTATTTTTTTTTTTTGAATTCATGTGAAATTAAGTAAATAACTTTAAAGACCTTTTCTCTCCCTGCGACCTAGGGTTTTCTACTTCCCCCCCTGCGATCTAGGGTTCGGCCTACGTGCATGCGACAATAACACCATTGAAGTTGCTTGATCTGTTTTCGATGGACGTCCAGGAGATAATAGCGCATACTGCAGACATCACGTTAGACGACGAGGAACAAGGAGTCCGATTCGAAGATGAAGTTCTCGGCGACCAAACCCTACCGGCGTCGAAGCAAACTTGGAGCATTGTTGGCCGTTTTTTAACGGACCGAATCCTCAAAACCGAGGTGATGAAGCGTGTTATGGCTTCGGCTTGGAAACCACTCATGGGCATTGAGATAACGGATGTGCAACCCAATTTGTTCTTGTTCACCTTCTTCGATGAACCGGACATGAGGCGTGTTATAGATGAGGGACCTTGGGCGTTTGAGAATGCGACGCTACTATGCCAAGTCCTGAACGATGGTGAAGATCCACTGCAGGTTAGTCTAAATTCTGTGGACTTATGGGTTCAGGTTTCGGATATCCCCCTGGGATACCGCACGGTGAAGGTTTTGGAGAGAATCGGGAACTATGTTGGGGTCTTTTTATGTTATGATGAACGAAATTTTGAGAGGCAATGGACTTCCTTCTACAGAATTAGAATCACCCATGATGTCTCGAATCCCTTAAAACGGCGGATGAAGATGATTCTAAGGGATGGATCGTGGACATGGATTAATTTTAAGTATGAGCGCCTCCACATGTTTTGCTTTTTTTTGTGGGAGAATGGGCCACACGAATAAGTTTTGCTTGCAAGCTCGCCGTTCGTTGTTGAATTCGGAACAATACCCGTTTGGCGTGTCAATGAGGGTGGGGGGTTCTAGTCCAGCGAAATTGTTGGGGGAAAATGGTTTCAATTGGGGCAGGAGAGGCGGCGTGAGATTGGCTATGGGGGTGAGGGCGGGAGATTGGCGGTGGGAGTCGGGGTTGGAGGGGATGGGAAGTCTCGGGTGGAGGTTGGTAGGGCTGCGGTATCTGGGATGGAGTCGGGAATTGAGGGTGTGGGTGGGATGGGCGGTGAGGGAGTTGCTAGAGAGGGGGAGGGAGTTCGGGTGGATCCGAAAAGACGAAGGACGGATGTCGGGGAGGTGAGTGCTTTGAATGGGAATATGGTTGTTGATTCTGATTCTTTGTTGATGGCGGGACCTGTAGAACAGGTCCGCCGGTCCCAATGAATACCTTAAGTTGGAACTGTCGTGGCTTGGGTAATCCACAGACAGTTCGCGAGATTGAGGACATGGTGTCCTGTAAGAAACCCGACTTTGTATTTCTCATAGAAACCAAGGTTAGCCGAGATCATGCTGAATGACTTCGGGTTAAACTTGGTTTTGATGGACTTTTTGTATTGACAGTTCTGGTTTGAGTGGTGGTTTGGCTCTATTGTGGAGAGCGAATAATACAGCAAGATTGATGAGTTATTCCACAAACTATGTGGATGTTGAAGTGAGTATACCGGGGTTTGAAAAATGGAGAATGACGGGTTTTTATGGATTTTCACAGAGGGGTCAACGGAGAGACTCTTGGGACCTTATTCGTACTTTAGCTGGCAGATCAGATCTACCATGGGTGATGATTGGAGACTTTAATGACTTACTATTTCAATCTGAGAAGCGAGGTGGAAACCCTCATCCTGAGAGTTTATTGCATGGGTTTGGTGAGACTATAGAGGAGTGTGGTTTAGCGCAGATGCCAATGACGGGATATCCGTTTACTTGGGAAAAACGGAAGGGCACACCGAATTGGATAGAGGAAAGGTTAGACAAAGTTTTGGCTAACCAGAGTTGGCGTGAGAACGTGCCGGATGCTAGTGTGCAGAATATATTAACCCGACAGTCGGATCATTCTGCTCTTTTCCTTGGGATTCTGAATCTTCGGGAAAGGACGGGTGGTTTGAAAAGAGGGTTTCGTTTTGAGATGGCATGGCTGCATGACGAAGGATGTAGAGATGTGGTGGAGAAGGCATGGAATGAAGGTGGAGGAAGGGGGTTGCAGGAGTGTATCTCTCTTTGTGGAAATCGTTTAACGCGCTGGGGAGGAGAGCGTTTTCATAAGTTTGGTGAACGAATGAGGAACTTACGGAAGGAGCAATTACATCTGAGGGGGTGTAATGACCCAGTCTCATTAGCTGAGTTCCAACGATTAGAGGAGTGCCTGAGTTGTATTGAAGCCCAGGAAGATACATACTGGAGGCAGAGAGCCAAACAGCATTGGCTTAAGAACGCGGATGCTAACACGAAATATTACCACAGGTATGCATCTCATCGCAAGAAAAAGAATACTATTGTTAAAATTATGAATGATAGTGGGGATTGGGTTGAGGGTGAAGCCATGAGGAATATTATCTTCAACTATTATAAGAATATCTTTACCTCTGGTTCTCCAAGTAATAATGGGGAATTCTTTGGAAATATAGGCTCTCGTGTAACACAGGTACAGAATGAGTTGCTCTTGCGGCCCTTTGATGCTAGTGAGGTTAGGAGTGCTCTATTTTCCATGTTTCCTGACAAAGCACCAGGACCGGATGGAATGAATCCGGGGTTCTACCAGCATTTTTGGGATGTAGTGGGTGGTGATGTGTCGACCTATATTGTGAATTGTCTTAATACTCGCTCGTTTCCTGCTAGCCTAAATGATACGAATATCATATTAATCCCCAAAAAGAAATCCCCTGAGGTGGTCTCAGATTATAAACCGATAGCGCTGAGTAATGTGATATACAGGATTATGGCTAAGGTTATAGCTGCCAGAATGAAACCACTTATGGGGGATATTATATCTGACACCCAAAGCGCTTTTATATCTGACAGATTAATAACAGATAATATTTTGATTGCTGCCGAGGTTGGCCATTTTTTGAACAGAAAACAATGTGGAATCACAGGATGGGGGGCTTTGAAACTGGATATGGCGAAAGCCTATTATCGGATGGAATGGCCCTTCTTACGTAATATGATGCTAGCATTGGGTTTTGATGAAAGGTGGGTGGAGTTGATAATGCTATGTGTAACCTCAGTCTCATATAGTATACAGGTTGGTGGGACACGAAGTGAGCAGATCAGTCCAACTCGAGGATTGAGGCAGGGTGATCCTCTATCACCCTATCTCTTTATTATTTGTGCTGAGGGACTTTCATTGCTGTTACAACAGGCACAGTCGAGGGGAGATCTACATGGTTGCATAGTAGCTAGGGGAGCCCCCCATGAATCCCACCTATTTTTTGCAGATGACAGTTTACTCTTTTTTAGAGCAACTGCACAGGAGGCTGGTGTGGTAAAACAGTGTTTATCGGTGTATGAGGAAATGTCTGGGCAAGCAGTGAATTATTATAAATCAAGTATTTGCTATAGTAAGAACACGCGGGATGATGACAGAGAGGAGGTTGCCAGTATCTTGGGAGTGGTGCAGGCTCCGAATTTTGGGAAGTATTTAGGACTTCCATCATTTGTGAGCAGGAATAAGAGAGCAGTTTTCTCATATATTGATGACAAGATTAGACAACGAATTGGGTCATGGAATAAGAAGTTGCTTTCACAGGTAGGTAAGGAGGTCAATTTGAAAAGTGTGGCACAATCTATGCCCACCTTTTCTATGAGTGTCTTTTTATTACCTATGAATATTTGCACAGCTATTGAGAGAACTATGAATCGTTACTGGTGGAGATCTAAAGATGACCAGGGTATCCATTGGAAGGCATGGGATAAATTATGTATCCCTAAGAAATATGGGGGATTGGGCTTTAAGGAATTGCATGCCTTTAATTTAGCTATGTTGGGGAAACAGGCCTGGCGTTTACTCACGAAACCTGAATCGCTGGTATCCAGAATATTTAAAGCCAGGTACTATCCAAAAGGGTCATTCTTTGATGCTTGTATAGGGAATAACCCAAGTTTCTGCTGGCGTAGTATTATGGCTGCACAAGAACTAATTTGTGGAGGAGTTAGGCGCAGGATTGGGGATGGAAAGGCAACTCTTATATGGGATCATCCATGGCTTCAGGATGAGAATAATGCGAAGATAATAACTGAAAAACCACCACACTTGGCGCAGGCAACTGTTATGGGGTTAATGGATCAGGAAACGGATTCATGGGATCATGACATTTTAACTGATATTTTTATTCCGGAGGATGTGACACGAATATTGAAAATACCTGTGTCACCGGATTATGAGGATATGTGGTATTGATATGGAGATATAACAGGTGAATACTCGGTTAAAAGTGGTTACAGACAAATAGTGGGGAATTATGTTCAAACAACGGAGATGTTTGATAAATGGCCCAAATTATGGAAGCTCAAAGTACCCCCAAGATGGAAAACATTTTTATGGAGAGCCTTGAATAATATATTACCCACTACAAGGAACCTGATTATAAAGAGAGTTTGAAATTGACCCAACATGTGCTATGTGTGGGATTATGCATGAGGATACTATGCACTCTTTGGTCAGATGTGATTATACAATGAACATTTGGGCACAATCTAACCTTCCAATTCCCAATATTGTCACAGATATTTTCCATGTTTGGTTTAATGAAGTATTAAATATTCTAGATGTTGATGGAATTATTTATGCAGTGGGTCTATTATATTATATATGGCGAGCGAGGAATGGGGCTGTATGGGATGCATGCTTACCCAGACCACGGAAGATAATTGCAACTGTAACCATAGCGATCCGGGCATGGCGACTTGCACACCCGGACCGCACGCAACCGCAACTGGCTCGACGTGGATTTGCCACGGCAACCACCGAACATCTCCAAGGGACGGACGGCCAGCCTGCTGCCGTCACTGCCGCAAGTCACATGGCCACCTCCTCACTTGTAGCCCATGGAAGCATACGGAACAGATGTTATTTTGATGCGGCATATTTCCATACCACGAATAAAGCAACTGTAGGGGCAATCCTCCTAGACGAACAGGGGTCGTATATCTCAGCTTTACAGGCGCCATTGATAGACTGCTTCTCCCCTCTTATGGCAGAAGCAATTGCATGTAAAGAAGTTTTATCTTGGCTATGGGATCGTGGGGAGAGATCGGTAGACCTCCTAACAGACTGTCTGTCACTACAACAATATTTATCACTTGCGAAGGATACACCTCGTTCATACCTTGGCTATGCCATTGATACCTGCAGAAACCGGATGGTTTCCTTTGATTATGTTTCGATCAGTTTTATTCCTAGATCAGATAATTGTTTAGCATATGTTTTAGCCACTTCGGCCTTTAATTACTCAGCTGCTATGTATTCGGACTCTGGCCCGCTAGACTCTATTTCAACGTATTTTCAATAAATGCCGCACAGGCTCTTTTCAAAAAAGTAAATAACTTTAAAAAAATGACAAGAATAAAAATATTAACATTGCGAATTTGCAATCCAACAATAAGTCAATAAAATTTTCAAAAAAAAAAACAATAAGTCAATAAACATATTAAAATAATGTTCAAGTTCAACTTTTAAAGTTATTAAATTCAAAACAATGAAGTAAACTAAAAATATTAATATTTAAAGTTCATAATCACATATCAATTCATTAATCATTACACACACCAGTCCAAAACAAACTACGTTTCAAAAAATTTAGTTGCAACATGAACAGAAACATCTTCAACATCACCATCATCACTTATCCAAAAATTAAGAAATTTGAAAACATATTATTGTTTATGATAATTAAATTATTAAAATGTTGAATAAAATATTATATAATTTAGTGAATTACCCTTATCATATAACTCAAAATCGCTTAACCAATTGCGAGTTCAAATCAATGCTTAAACATTTGAAGGAAGCGCGCGCGCGCGCGCACACACACACACACACATATATATATATATAGAGAGAGAGAGAGAGCTGCAGGTCTTAGCGGGTTAGGCCCGCTGTTTAGCGAGCCATCTTTTTGTGGCCCTAACCCGCCCAACAGCAAGGCAGGTACAGGCTAGTCCGCGGACTTCAGCCCACTTTGACTAACCTACAAGATTCACATTTCAAAATCCTTACAATGTTTCAATTCCAAATGTAAGAACATGCCCCTTATTGTGATTTTTTTTTTTTTTTAAAAAAAAAATGTTTCCTGAAGAAGAGGAAGTGGCCATCTCTATACAATAGTTACACAGCATATTTGGGCAAGTGTTTCATTGAGAAATGACAAGCAAACAATAGTTACACAACATACATGAGCAAGTGTTTCCTTGAGAAATGAGAAATTTAGGAAACACAGATCTTAAGCAATGCTGAATTTCAATCAAATCTACGCATACATATAACTAAAGGATTTGTTCCGTCTCAGCTGAAAAGTTTAAACTGATAATAAGACTGAACATATATTATTTATATATATTTATGCTCGAGGCTTATGACCCGCTATGCAAACCGCTGAAGTCCAACCGAATGTAGGCAAGAACACGACCACACTGTCACTTAGTGATTGTCATTGAATTTTTTTTAGCTTTAGTTGCAAATGTCTCTGCTACCAAAAGGGGGAAAGCAATGGTTGCATCACAGAGTACCTGCATAGGACAGAACAACAAAAAATGTTTTGTCATAGCTTGTTCAAATAAGACACTTAAAGAGAGAAAAATATTTCAAAAATGGTTAGTTATGCTTTGGCATTGCTAACCTTCACAGCTTTGGCTCCATCGCGTATTTTACCCCACGACACAGCTTCATCAGGGCTGGCACCAGAATCGCTTCCATCAAACTCCTGGGCCGTGTTGATGTAAACTGCAAAATCTAAACCATTGCGCATCATATTCGCGTTACAGATATGATGTTTAGGCAGCCCTCCGCCAAGGATAAGCGCTCCGGTCTTCCTAGAACCGGCATTAACAGCCTCACCATCCATAGCCCTGACATCTAGTAATTGACAAACTAGAATAGTCAGTTATGAATTTGTTGTTAACTAGCTAGTTAGTATTAGGGCAGGCAAAAAGATGAATTACCTCCTACAATGTCAATGATTAGACCAGGATGATGGTCTGAATTATCTGCAACTTCCTTTTTGAAAGAATGGAAGTATAGCATGTCTCCTATAGAGCCATCAGTTAAACTAGGACAGAAGACAGGAATTCCGTTCTGGATAGAGAGCAAAGAAAGTCAGAATTTCTTTTAGGATCAAGCACTTACCATTACCACTATGCCAAAAACTATAACTTATAATGAAGGCGCAATTTTATTTTCTTATAGGCTGTAATCACATTTTCAAGACACAGGGTGCTGGACTTAGCCCTTCATCGACTTTCGCCCAACAATCCCCTAGCCATTAATTGATGGACTTGCCCGCATGGGCAGCTCAGTTGGTTACATGAGTGAATTTGAGAACAATGACCCGGGATCTAGTCTCACCAGCGGCAGAGTGGGAACAACCTCTCAAAGTGAGGGGAGCTCGAGTCTCACTAGCGACAGTGTGGGAGCAACCTCTCAAAGTGAGGGGAGCTCCTTATGTGCAATATGCAAATGTCTAGCTTCTATGTTATTGGCTCTCAAAGTGATCTCAAGCTCCTTATGTCTAGCTTCTATGTTATCGACTCTCAAAGTGATCTTAAGCTCATTGTGCGCAGTAAGCAAATGTCTAGCCTTTATGTTTTCAGTGTTCAACTGAGTTACCATGATTTACATCCCCTCAGATGCTCTCGGGCCAGGACGTGGGGGGGGGGTGGGGGGGGGGGCCTTGGGGTTGGGGATTCAACCTTTTGGGAACGACCATCAATTACCACGATTTACATTATCTTAGATGCTCTGTCAGGCCGGGGCATGGGTCACCCTTGGAATTGGGGATGTAACCTTTTAGAAACAACAATCAATTGATGGACTTGACCCTTTACCGACTTCCGTTATACCACTTGTTAAGATCAAGTGCTTACTAGTACGCCAAAAGCTAATAAAGTTGCACTTTCTTTCACTACAAGGTATAACTTTTACCGTAGTGATAAATGCTTGATCCTAACACACTCTCAGCGTAACAACAATTGTTCAAGGCAAACAAAATTAAATTGGGAAGGTACCTTGTATGCCCAGTATAAATATGACCTCTCATCATTAATCTCTTTCCCAAGGCGAGCAATTACTTTAGATGGTGTCCATAGTACATTCTGTGTAACAAAAAGAGAAAAAACATCATAGGGTAATGTCCCGTTGTCCCTGTAAGTGTGTTGTGTGGCATAGAAGACCAATACCTGTTTAGTTTGCTCTTCATACATTTGGTCAAAAATGGGAATGATCCAGTTTTCAAATTTGCAGTAATTGTCATTTGGAACCAACAAGTTACCAATGCGGTTCAACCCCTTTGAGCGTAGCATAGAACCTTGTAACGAAAAATCGCCTTTATAAGTTGGCGCAAGACATTTTATGAGATCCTCCTCTATACCACCGGCTGTTGTCACCACTACATCAACCTGCAAGCCGACAAGATGATGGACCGTATTATATCAGAGGTTTATGTTAGGATCAAACGCTTACCATTATGTGAAAAGCTATAGATCACAGCAAAGTTCACAACTTTATTTATTTATATACCACCATCACATTTTCGAGGGCAAATTATCTTGTGGACCCGGCCGGTACATATTACAAGGTGTATTCGGATCTAAAAATACACAAATTCTATATTGAATGTTCACAATTTACATACTGAATGTTTACAATTTACATACTAAATATTCACAATTTAATTTGCATTGTGAACATGTATGTAAATTGTATATTTTGAACTCGGGTCCACCTTGCAAGGTTGACCCAGATTCATCATATAATTGCTAATTTTTTAGAAACAAGGTGCTGAACTTCGCAAATTATGCAGTGCAACCGTGTGCACCATGTATGGTGCACACAGTTGTAAAAACGATATCGTTTTGACTAAAAACATGCGTCCCACTTTTAAAAAAAATTTCAGGTTCGATTCCTAGCAATAGCATTTTTTTTGTGCATAATTTGAATTATATATCCACAATGAATGAACTAAATATCCATAGTGAATGAATAACTAAAAATCCAAAATGAATGAACTAGATATCCACAATGAATGAACTAAATATCCACAATGAATAAACTAAATATCCAATATGAATGAACAACATAATGATGTTGAGGGGAATCGGAACTGAATTTTTTTAAAATGGGACGCGCATTTTTAGTCAAAACGACGTCGTTTTGCATGGTGCACACGGTTGCACAGCATAACTATT